AGCTTAAAGCGTATTAAGCAATTTTTTAGTCCGTTAGATTTCCTGCTTTGAGATACATAAGCTTTAGAGCTGTTAAACTTTTATCCCTCATGATCTGTAGTTGTTTTAATGGGAAATTATAGTACTTATTCTCGCGAAGGCGTTTAATTATCTCGATTTTCCCACTTCATGCATACTTATGACGCCTTAAAGCGCTACTTCTGTTGTAGTTGATTAGTGTTTTTCTTAATGCGCCCATCAGCAGGACGAAACTCATTATTGTCTACACATACCCCGCCGTTAACGATTTTCTTGGGAACGCAGGCACTGAGCTTTGCTTGCTATGGTGTCGCTGGCTTTCCACACCTGCCCTTTGTTGTGCTAAGTACATTTTGTGCTAAATTTGTAATTTTTTCCAAATCAATTTTCTACCATTATTCTTTCGTTTCTTCAATTTTTAAAGGTTGTTCTTGCGCACAATGCCATAATCAGTATGAAGCTGGTCACTTGGGACATCATGCCAAAATGCAGGGTTGCTGACTGCTGAACGTGTGAATGAATGCAGCTTATCTGGCCGTAATTGGCATGTGAGCTATGGCTACACCACATGTCCCGTAAATTTCAGATTTAATCGCTTTAACATAAAGCATTTATCTCATAAATTCCACAAAAAGCTCCAATATAATTACGGTTTACGCTTATATTAGGATCTTGAAATTAATCCTTTTAGAATTTTACCGTGCAGACATATGTGGAGAAATGGTAGATATACCTAACAAGTCAAAGATACCTAGTCAAAGTGACTATTGAAAAACTGATAAATACGGGTAGATGCAGTTTGAGAGCTGATGGTTCGAAAGCTGATTCCAGAAAAGAACTTATAAATTTTTTTTTCGCTTCCAAGAATGATTGAAACGTCCAGAATTGCTGCTTAAACCAAAGTAGCAACGCTTGAGCGAATATTGTTGTAATAACATATTTATTACGTGATAACTCCTTGGATTGCTATTTTAGGTAGAATTGATGTTTAGGGGCAATTATTAACAGGCTCTAAGGACTGTTTTCTACAAAAAAATCCCTTTAATTTTTTCTGAAGAAACAGCAGATACAGAAGGCAGATCTGGAATCAGCGATTTAAGCAGCTTATAATAGTATGTATCTTTTTCGAGTCGCCCTTCCCAAGTATTTTGTAAGGTAACTGCATCAAAAACATGGGTGAATATCTGCTCGTTGCATTGTTAGACCCACTTTGGCAAATAGAACCTTCTTCTATGTACAGATTCCTTACAATAAACCTCTACAGAACTGGCAAAACTTATTTTTCCAGGACTTTTAGTTCCATTTCTGATAAGGAAAAAAAGGTATCCTACCAGATGTATGAATTATTTGTAGAGGCCGGCTGTTTCAAATGACATGTCATCTGTCCCCTCATTGGCTGCTTTAGATCATACACATTTGAAGTGGGACAAGGAGTGGATGTTCCATAAGTTACCGAAGGTATTGAATAGAATTGTATGCAATAATTCTGCATTTCCCCAAAACTTTTATTGTTTTTAGGACAACATTGAAATTCCGCGCCATCATCTACCAGATCCTGAAGCAGAAGCAATCCCTGGAACCAGCAAACAGGTTAATGTTTATTTGCCTTGCAGTTTTGAATGAAAATTGCTTGAAATTGCGAATTAGAGCTTGTTCGTATTATGTTTTTCTAAAGAACTATACTCATTCAAAGTTGTGCTACAACACTTGTTAACTTGATTAAGTAGATTTTGCATCAATCATGTTGCACGATCTGTTCTGTCGAAACACATAAAAGGAGCTTTTTCCACATACTACAGCTTCATCAATTTTAACCGGGTGGTTCAAACGTAATTTTTGATTGCCTGAGTGTTTATTGTGAATCAGGTATACTACAACTTAACAGGAGTCCCTT